TGCAACCGTCAACAGCCGTCCTCCTCAGCAACTTTCACATAAATTGCTAACTATGCTATTACTGTTGGCCGCTGACACGCTGACTTCGTAAGTGACCGCCCAGCATAAGAGCACCGAACCGAATTTTCAAGTCAAAAGTGAATAGAATAGAAGGAAGCCATTTTCACTTTCCTTTCATATCTTTTACAAGAAAGAAAAAGAAAAACAAAATAATCATTGAAAATCCTAACGGTAAACAAATTTTGTAAATGTCGAACATGCATGAAACACGGGCAAGGCAAAGATTTTCAAACAACAAGCAATATTAGATATGAGACACGAGACACGAGACACGAGACACGAGAGATAGATGGATATATTCAATAAATCACCAAAAGCAAAAACAATAACAAAAACAGAAAACATTATACCATCACCGTAGTCGTCAGCTCTATCGTAAACACGAGTAACTGTAAAATCGGAAATGTGTTTTCTAAATCAGGAAAGTTGCAGCTAAGGCTTACTATAATTTCGATTTGATTTAAAAGGTTCTCTTCTCGTTTTGAGAGTTTTTTTTGTTTTTTTTTGGTTTTTTTTTTCCTTCTATTATTATCACTTATTATTATAGTGTTTATATAAAATAATTTTATTTTTTTTTTAAATTTAATATGAAAAGGTTGAGGAGTCTCGATTGCTATTTTGCTTCTTTAACTTTCACTTTTAAAAATTTACTGCTATGCTCGTCTTTTGAATTCCATTTATTTTGAAAATGTTTCCATTGCTTCCCCTTTTCATCAAATGTAACTTAGCTGCTTATGTGCTGTCTATGTATGCATTATTATTGTTTTGTTTTATTTTGTTTTTTTTTTTTTATTTTTTTATTTTTTTTTTTTGTTTCGTTAAGGAAAAGGTGTTTCCTTTAATTTGTTGCTGTTGTTGTTAGTTTTTTAATATCTTAAGGGCTAAAAGTTCTTGTTAATGACTTTTTGGTTTCTTTTGTTTTTGTTTTTCTTGTACTGTTGCCGCCCCTTTACTGGGCGAACAGCTTAATGTTTATATTGAAGGTAAGCTCTGTACACTTGTTGTTGGCTTTTCTTTTTTCTTTCATATTCATTAGTTTTTCCTCAAAGTTAACTTGAGGCTGTTATATGTAATTAACTTGTACGAGCGATATTATAAAAAACCCTTGAACACCGCTTCGTAGTCAGTCTGTGGGCGGTAGAAATTCTTTTTTATTTTATTTTATAAATTATTAACCAATACTGCGCGGAACAGTGATATGTTATCGTCCTACAGATATATAATTAAAAAATAAATAAATAAATAAATAAATGAAACTAAATTATGTCAACTTCAAAAATAATGCTATAAATAATCAATAAAGATGCATGAAAGTAAATGCTTTGTGTCTTTGTGCAACGATACAAGTCGTTAACATTCATAAGGGGCGTAAATTACGATAGAAAACTGAATGATTTCGCGAAATGCAATCCGAAAAGTACACATTTGCGATTCAAATTTATTACATTTTTTTTTTTTTTTTTTTTTTTTGATGTTCATCTCAAAGCTTTTGAGCTTGTAAATTTCATGCCAAATCATAATCGTATTTGAGGCTAAACTAAATGCATGATGTCTTTTAAAAACTAAAAGAAAAAAGGAAAGTCCAACATATTTAGGCGAAAGGCTGCTTCTTCCAGTCCAGTGTTTCATTCAATGACGGAAAATGTATAGAGTTCCTTTTAGCACGACGATGTCGTTGCGTGCAACGGCTAAAGTACAATAATTAGAACAAGTAAAAATACGACCGTGGGATACGGCTCAGCCTTGCATAGCCTACACTACCACTACGCTTAACGCTGTTAGTCATGTCGGTCGGGTACGGACCTCTGGACCAAACACAAAATGACATGACCAAAAATCAGGAGAAAACTCAGGCGGGCGGAGAGACAGTCGGATGGACAGACAGATCGATGAGTGAAGAGACAAAGAGCCTCAGATCGATTCAGGGAATAATTCTGAAATTATTTGCCCAACAAAAAGATGGGCCCATCGCATCAACGCAAACTGTATATACCCTTGTTCCACAAATGTGTGCTTTAAGGCGCAAAAACTCTTTCATATTGAGAAACTAATTTGAATTTCTCTGATGAAAATCGATTTCGGACCACAAATTAAAATATTCTTATCGCCTCCTATTAAAGTCACCTATTAATGTCACCTTTTAATTATTTGTTTTTTAATTGCATATGAACGGCAAAATGCATAAAAAATGCGTGTTCAGTAGAAGATTTAATATCGAAATTATTTCCAATGCATTCTTGAATTTTTGGCGATTCTCGGCTATTGTTAAATTTCGAACGTATTCACTAGCTTTACAACCGTCACCATGAAGATTTCAGTGAACGCATTTCATTGAACTCAAAAACTGTCATCTAATTGATTATAAATTTCGACGTAATAAAAAATGTTAAAATATCAATAAATTTTAATATCTGAAGGGTAAAGTTGTTGTAACCACAGCTGATATAGAAGAATAGACGAATAAGATGAATAAAATGTAAACCCAGTTGTCCCTTACGAAATGTACTAAAGATTATAGGAAACACAATTTGTCGACGCGTGATTTAAGTCCACATCAAATGTCTGCGAGTCAGTCAAAATCAAAACCGTAAAACTATTCGCAAACTTCTCAGCAAATTTCCTACGATTGAATTGCACAGGCCTTCTAAACCATCTATCTCTCTCTCTCTCTCTCTCTCTCTCCGTTGTTAAAACAATGGGCATTGATAATCTGGCTAATTCCGTCGAAGAGAAACGTAAACTATCAAACCTCATTCATCTTAGATGTTTAATATAATTGCATTTTATTTTTCCCAGTTTTGTTTTTTACAATTATTTTACGATAATTGCGTTTTCACCTCCTTACCTTTTAAATCTTATTTTTATTATTATATGTGTCATCTACTCATTTATTAGTCTTCTATTAATTATTAATTATTAATTATTCTAAAATTATTAAGCTTGATAATAAATCAGTAGTGAAAGAATGTCTTCATTTTGTATGGGTGCGGGAAAGGTGAGCAAGGTTTGCAGATAGAAAGAGTAAAGAATTATGGTAAAGATCACCGATCATACTATCGATCAAAAGTAGACTCATCAAAGGCGCCAGACCAATGATTAATTCTGCCGTATATAAACTTTTACGTTCACTTTTCTAAATTAAATACTTTTTTATAATTTAGATAAGTGCGAGTGTCAAATAAGATATCAATATATGCTTCAATTAAAAACGAAAGTATTTTCCTTTTCGATTTCGAGTAATTTTAACTGAGGTGCGAGAATACCCGTAACAGATTTATCAGAGACGGACGGAAGGTAAATTCAGCAAGCGCACATTTGAAAAGCTGGATAAATGGACGAAAAGGTTAAACGACGAGGGCAAAAGTACGGATACATGCATGAACAGAAGGTCAGTGGGCAAATGAACCAATCAGATAAACGAGATTTGTCGGGAAAAGTCGTCTTGAAATGTCGCTGTTAATATTCGCAACAATTAATATTATAGTAGAGTATAAGCGATTTCTTCGCGCTCTACTGAAGGCGAAGATAGTTCGCGATTTCCATTTTTCAAAGGGGAATACTCCAAGCGGACCATAGAAAATGTAATCAATCAATCAGCATGAAAATCAATTCACATGAAAAACTAAAAAAGACGAAAGAAAATTTGCGGATTTTACGACGTTACACGATGTCTTGGTTATCGAAAACAGAATAAGATAAAATGAACAATTGAAACCAAGCATAGATAGAAAACCGTATACGAAATAATCAATTTAATCAATCGCACTGTCAGCGGGATTGGAAAATTACTCTCGCACTTACGAGCGTCATGCCAGTAAATAAATTAAAATAATCATAACGTCTGGACAATAAAACATACACAAGATTGCCGGGATCGTCGATCCATGAAAATATTCCATACTTTCATTTTCTATGTACGTATTTCTATTCAATAATGCTCTGAGATATATTTAACGTATGAATTTCTTTGTACCTGCGGCTCTCGTCCGAATGGCAACTACTGTAGATTGGTTTTCTTTAAGGAAAATTTCCGCTTAATTATAAAATAGCGATAACATTGAAATTTGATTAACAAAGCTGTCGAATCTGCAAGACACCGCAGCCAACTACTTCGAGGCCTCCGTCATAGGGCAAGACTAGGACTTTAAATGTAGACAAGGATGTGTATATTTACCAAGTACCAAATATGGAGGGCGGTACGGTATTGGTAGGAGCTCGGCTGCTTAAATTTTCCATCGGAAAAAGGAAAGCGTACTTATTCTTCAATCCTTATAAGCGTCGAAAATGAATTTTGTTTTATGTTTCGTTTTGTTTTTTTTGTTTTTTTTTTTTTTTTTTGCTTTAATACATAGACTATGCCCCAAAACCATACACATGCACAAGTACACGTGTGCAATGCATTCATTTGGGATTATGAGGAGCTTTAATAACACAAAAAAAAGTTTTGATGTAGAAAATTTAAATAAAAAAAAAAAAAAAAGAAAACATTGAAAACGACTCCTTCCAACTCCAAAGAGTTATTATAATCAAAGTCAATGTCTAATCCGCACTTAGCTTCAATTTATTTTATTCTTTTTTCTAAAATTAAAATTAAGTAAAAGTATTGCCTACTTATTGTGCATAGCGTCATTTGGGTTTTTTTTCTGACATAGCCTAAATGAAAGTTGAGTCGATGATAATGCGCCACTAATGCGTTTACTCTGTAATGTTATTGTTATGTAGAAGGAATTCATTCTGTAGATGAATTGCTGCTCAATGAATATCTATTTCTAAATTTCTATTTATCTGAAGTCGATCTTTGGAGTATATCATCTCTTTGTTTCTCAGGTGTGTGACTAACAATTTTTGCTATATTTTGCTTCAATTATAAATTGAATTGTTGAAGCGTTTTTATGAAACTGATTCGATGATTTTTTAATTGCATGAGTTGTTAATCTTACCGTTATACAATGTAGTTGAACCTCGAGTTGCTGCTTCTGGGGAATGTGGTGGCGGACTGGGGGCTGTTGCGCCTGCCGTTGGCGACGATGGACCCCAGCAGGTAGCCGTAGGCTTATTACCGTTATTATGATCTGTTGTTGTTTTTAAATCGCTTGATTTTATTATCACCGTTGCGTTAGCAGTAGTCTGAACAATTGCCGCCTGATTTGTATTATTATTATTATTATTATTATTATTATTATTATTATTATTATTATTATT